GAAGCAAAATTTGTCTGGTTCATGATGAAACGTTTCTCAGTGGGTGGCCCTGTCAACCCACTTTGTCCAAACACCCCTCGATTGATGTGGTGGGGCCAGCTGTCAAATTACAATTTCAGCTGAAGATTCACCCTGTGTAGCCCTTGAGGCTGAATTGAAACTTTTTTTACATTTGTATGACCAACTTTATAGAGGCTTCTGGCCATTTGCTCATCTAGTTCGGCTGGATCTGGTGACACTGGATCTGGTGACTCTAATTCTGCTAGATACTGCTCATCTGGACTCATTGCAAGAGGTGGTGATCAAATAGGTGTGAAAATCTTGTCAAATCCGCACTGTTTTCATGCAGATTAGTTGATGACATAGGGGTCTGCAGTGCATCTCTTAACCCTAAAAAAAAAAACATGTTAGCCAGCACGGAGGCCTGATAGTGGTGAAATCATGCCAACACGCTCTTGTGTTTATGGCCTGCTCAACAGAAGTGTAGCCATTTATTTAGTCTAAAAGAGATTAATTCAAAAGATTTACTGAAGACAGAGGTTGTTAAACTAATATAGTTTCCGGGTGCTGGGAGCAATGTAGTGCAGAAGTTACATCATCAGTGTCCATCATAACGCTCAAAGGGATAGCCGTGGGACCTGTAAGAACCACTGGGGGAGCTGATGTTGGCGTCAGATGGTTTGGCAATCGCAATCCTGACCTATCCCTACTGGAAAAGGGGATGATAATAGGTAAGTGTGCAAAACCGAATCTGCACATAGCAAAATTATGTTTTCGTTAATATTTAATTAGCACTGTCTTGTTTCACTTGTTCATTATTGCAGGGCATGCTCATTCCTGTAAAACTATTGGACAGCCTATTGATAATTACATTCCTTATTCTATTTGCATATTCATAGGGCTGTTTCCAAATCTTGCTGCATGATTTCTTTTTTTATCTTGGGATCTGTCACATATTCATAACAGAAAAATAGGTGCAGCGCTAAAATAAGACAATATGCGTATTAAAGTGCAAAATGATCATTGATAGCTCAGGGGGGCTACAGCATTGAGACGTCACGCCACCGCTGGTGGCCATCCTGATATATATATATATATATATATATATATATGGTCAGTGGTTTTCATATATTTTTTTATACACCTGTCTTTTGTGGAAATAAAATCCCTTTATGCAGTATCACACTATGTGGTGTCCTTCATTGGGCTCTCCTTGTGAGCGCCGTCATTCGCAGAGCCTATCTGAGTGGTGACCCAACACGGTGATACACATTAAGGGACCCCGAAAAACCTGACACAGACATGACCAGACGCTGTGACACCTGCATAAGGACCCTATGGTGTATAGGAACCTGGCCGAACCTGGGAGCAGTGGACCTGTTTTTACCTGATGAGACAGGAATAATCTCAAATACGTGTTTAAAGCGCACTTCTGGTGAGTGCGCATTTTGTTCATTTAGTTACTTCATCTGTCACCCCTGGATCAGTTACCCATACACGCTGATTGTGATCTTGAAGGGATCCTCACGTTTATCTTGGGACATTTCATCACTACTGTTATCACCGTGGAGTGATATTCTTTGCACTTTATATTTAATATTTATTATTGATGTATTCATGTTCTCATCTAGATGGTTATGCTATCAATGATCATTTTGCACTTTAATACGCATATTGTCTTATTTTAGCGCTGCACCTATTTTTCTGTTATTTACATTGGAAGGTTATTTTGGTTGCCTTTTGGTGTTCCAGCAGCTATTTTTTGAGGTAGCGCTCGCTAATATCCTATTTGTCACATATTCATGTTGACCTACTTCATATTAATAGATCAGCTGCCCCATTATTTATTTATTTATTTATTTATTTAAAACAAGTTTTTTTAGAGACAAGCTGAAATGTTCATAGACTAGGAGGTAACCATTTATTATCATATTATGTTTGTTTTTTTTTTCCAGCTGCATTAAAATGATTGTGCATAAAGGGACAATCTCATAAGGCTCATAATAAATGCACTTAAATACAGGACGTGTTATAAACAAAGATCCCTTTTATAAAAATCCATTTGTATAAGCTTAATAGGCTTACTGATAAGTGTGTTGTAGAGATTCTGGGCCAGCTTGATGTGCCTTGAATAGACGAAGGCCTTCAGCTCTGAGAACCACAGTCAGAACTGTATCTCTTATTCAGTCAAAACAAAGAAGCTAGAGAAAGCTCTGTGTAAGCAAAACAAACAGAACATTTTTTATTTGGTCATTTTGGTTCTTCTAATTTTTTTTTAGTAACCAAGGTTTGTTCTTCTGTCACTTCAGGGAAGTTAGACTCCAAAACTAAACTCAATTTAGTACCTGCTGATATTTGCCTGAATATGTCAAAGAGTTTCCCTAGCAAACCCAACTTTTTGGGTTTACTTGGGAAACTCGTTGACATATTCAGGTCATTATGTCTTGACCTGAATCAAGACATGCTTGCTGCAGTTAAACCATGTACATATAAAAAATATAAAATCCGCAGCACCATTAGTAGATGACCTTGAAACAGAGTGGTTGATATACAGGCAAAGACAAATAGGCTGTTCAGTTTGCAAGGGGATTTACCAGGAGTTAAGTAAATGTGAAGCCTCACTTTGCAAAGAATACCCATACATGTGCAAGGGAAAAGAAACAGCATTTTTGCTTGCAAATGATTGGATGATGGAAGTCAGCAGAGCTTTACCTCATTTTAAGCTCTGGGACAAATGCCCTAGCTAAAGTGAACAGCATACTTACCTTTAATGAATAAATCCCATACTTATGATCCCATAGATATTAAGAATGCCAAGGTTGACTTGCATATAAAGGCAAACATTTTTTTCATTTTGGATATAGTGGGGAAGGGTTAGTGAGGATGTTGCATTAGGATTTTGTTAGGGACAGTTGATCTATAGTGGTTCCTTGAATTCTACTTAAATCAAAGCAGTCCTGTACATAATACAGGTTTAGTTATATCAAAGTATGATTTCATCCTAATGCTAATAAATGCCGTATGCTGCAACATGATTTAATCCAGTAAAGGTTTAGAAGTGAATTATAATAAAATGTGAGTTCCCTTGAAGGAATTGCCTGTAACTGCAGTCAGTTTGTCTATAAATTCTTTATTTACAAGCAAAGCATCTTGCTCTTGGTGTTAGGTAATTCAGTGAAATGAGTCAAGGGATGCGTCACACTAACTAGCGTCAGTATAGCAGAACACGAATACAGCTGAAAGCAAAATGAATGCGCTGTACCTTTTTTAAATCATATGAAATCAACTTAAAACAAAGTTTGTTTTTTTATGGGTTTTTTTTCCCCCAAATCATACTTACCTAGGTGAATGCAGCATCTGTCCAACGCTGCATCTGTCCCCCGCTGGCTCTAAAGGTGGGTTCTCACCACTGCTATGAGCAGAGAGCGGTGACTGTCAGTATATTTCCCCAGCCTGGACCGGCTGAGTGACGGACTTTAGCCCGCTGTTAACTGAAAACAGACCACAGGAGTGCAGAACGAATTGCACTCATGTTATCCACAGGAAAAGTACAGCCAAAAGAGCACAAATAAACACACAAAATAACACCAATCAGTGATGTAAGTGCTCAAACACAAATGTGACCGTGAACATCAAAATACAAATTAATAATGTGAATAATCCATACAATAGGTGAACTACAAGTACCTACAATATTATAAATAGTCCATATATTAGGTGAATTACCAGTTCAGCAATTCATTATGCAGGTCTGGTGCATCACCGCCACAGATAACATCTACCTGCTTACCAAACGAAAATCCCCCAAACACGTAAGAGGACAACAGCACCTGAGTGCAGGACAAAACCTGTCAATAGCCAATTTCTTTTAGGATGAGAACCATCAAATCCTCCACTTTTAGTCTCAAGCCCAGTAATGTTGGCCTCCGAATAATGAATGCCACACAGCAGCAACAAAATCAAGCTCATAATGGCTCCAAAAGAATTGAGGAAGGATAGAAAAACTTTAGTGTATTACCACTTTAATATGTTCTTTATTGAATTGAAAATTAACTCACAAAGGATTCACAGGCTTAAAGCATATTGTACAAGCACACCTCCTAACCGAGCACGAATGTCCGCATCAACGCTCCACCCCTATGCGTTTTATCCATCATAGACATCCCCAGGGATAATGTGTTGACATTGCATGAATTAATGTGGTATGTTTTTTTTTTGTTTGGTTATTGTGTTTTGGGTTAAAGTACCTTTTGTGCCAATCAAGATTTATGCCTAATGCGCATGATAAGAAACTGGACAAATGATCCTTCAGGGTTTTTTTGCATGCTGTTCTCATATCGAACATGAGAGTGCTACTAAGCATACACAAATTCTCGTACGATCCAGTACAACTTTCCACGTGCATAGCTACGTACCAGCATGTAATCAGAAGTTGTCTGTTTACAGGTGCGCCACTGAAAAAATTAGGAGAGTATGGGACCACTAATGTCCAAGCAGCTATCTGATTAATAATTATCAACTGGCATACATATACAGATAGACAGCCCTATTCAGACTATCCCCATAAATAAATTCACAATATCAGGTGTATATGTATCTTATGTCTTTAAGGCAGAAGAAAAAACCTTTTTGTGATCTGTATATTTAAATCCTAAATTGTCCGGTGCATTGGTATTTTCTTTAAAAAACGGTGTGTGTACAGTGAAAATGTGTCATAAAGTGCATATGCATTTATAACTCACTTGTGTATATAAAAACACAAACAAGTGTGGGCATACCCTAATTGCTAGATTTTTAGTGTTTAAAATAAAACTAGAAAGAACTAACTTGTGCATCATTTTTAGAAGAGGCTTCCTTCTGGGACGACAGCCATGCAGACCAATTTGATGCAGTGCAGAGTATGGTCTAAGCACTGACAGGCTGACCCCCCCCCCCCCTTCAACCTCTGCAGCAATGCTGGCAGCACTCAACTTCTTTGGTCGACCATGGCGAGGCCTTTTCTGAGTGGAACCTTTCATGTTAAACCACTGTATGGTCTTGGCCACCATGCTGCAGGTCAATTTCAGGGTCTTGGCAATCTTCTTATACCCTAAGCCATCTTTATGTAGAGCAACAATTCTTTTTTTTCAGATCCTTAGAGAGTTATTTGCCATGAGGTGCCATGTTGAACTTCCAGTGACCAGTATGAGAGAGTGAGAGCAATAACACCAAATTTAACACACCTGCTCCCCATTCACACCTGAGAACTTGTAACAATAACGAGTCACATGACAATGGGGAGGGGCCAATGATATTTTGATGGTACAGGAGGGGCCGAGATCAACATTGAATGAGTTTTTGGCATACATTAATAATAACATATATAGTTTAACGTTTTCAGGTGAAGAGAATCAAAATCAGGTAAACTGTTTAGATTTGACTGTGTTTAAAAAGGAGGGTAAGGTATGCACTAAAACATACTTCAAAGAGATAGATTGTAATAGCTACATCCCAAACACAGGCTGCCACCATCCTAGGTGGATTTACAATACACCCAGAAGCCAGTTTAAGTGAATAAGGAGAAATTGTGATTTTGAAGGGGATCTTATAATACAGACAGATACTGTATTTTAATTAATGGGTTCTTGGAAAAGGGATTCGAGAGACCCTTTTTAGAGGAAGAAAGAAAGAGAATCTTGGATAAATAATAGGAAAGATTTATTAGAAAATAAAAAAGAAAAGCACAAAAATACCAATTATGGACTTATAACAGATTATAATGCACAGTCTAAACAAACTGAAACGATTATTAAGAAATATTGGCCTATATTGTTAAAAGATGAGATCTTCTCCCAAATAAACCTAATTTTATGTACAGGAAAAACAGTTTCCTCTGTAAAAAATTAGTACACAATGTGTTTGAACCCCAAAGAAGCCCAAGATGTTCTTTGATTATAAAGGATTTTACAGATGCAATAGATGTAAAGCATGCAAAAGCAGAAAGAAAGATAACAAGAAGTTCACATCGAACAAAACAAAGAACATGATATTAACCAACTTATTACGTGTGACTCCTCACATGTGGTATATTTATTAGACTGTCCCTGTAAAAGAAAACAGTAGATCAGAAAAACAACAAGAAAATTAAAGACTAGAATATGAGAACATATATAAATAATATTAAGAGAGGTTATGAAAAACATAGTGTGTCTAAACACTTTAAAATGAAGCACAACAAAGATCCTAGTCTGGTAACCTTCTTGGGCATTGAGCTGGTTGATACCCATTGGAGAGGAATGGACATGGAAAAAGAGGTTTCACAGAAAGAAACTAAGTGGATAGTAGAGATGGACACCTTACATCTGGAGGGGCAAAACATAGAGATTGATCTAAATTATTTTCTAACTAATTTTTAATTTAATATCAGTGTGTGTGTGTGTATATATATATATATATATATATATATATATATATATTTAGATAGATGGACACACACATACTTAGGTCCTTATATATTTGAACACAGGCACAATTTTAGGTTTTCATAGGTATTTACAAAAACATATTCAAGCTATAGTTATATAATGGATATGGGCTTAAAGTGCACACTCTCAGGTTTAATTTGAGGGTATGTACATCCAAATTGGAGGAAGGGTTTAGAAATTACAGCTCTTAAGAGTAGTAATCCCTCCATTTTCAAGGGACCAAAAGGGACCAAAAGTAATTGGACAATTGAATATAATCATAAATAAAATGTTAATTTGTAATATTTTGTTGAAAATCCTTTACTGGCAATGACTGCCTGAAGTCTGGAACCCATGGACATTACCAAAGACTGGGTTTCCTCCTTTGTGATGCTTTGCCAGGCTCTAACTGCACTTGTATTCAGTTCTTTGTTTGTGGGGTTTTCTGCCTTTAGTTTTGCCTTGAGCAAGTGAAATACATGCTCAATTGGGTTGAGATCAAGTGATTGTTATCGGCCATGGCAGAATATTCCACTTCTTTTCCTTCCAAAGCTCTTGCTGGTTGCTTTTGCAGTGTGTTTTGGATCATTGTCCATCTGTACTGTAAAGCGCCATCCAATCAACTTCATTTTCTGCATTTGTCTATTTTTGTATATGTGTAATCAGAAGTGTTGTGACCCCTCTGCTTGCCACGCTTTCAGCTATACCCGATTGGAATGTTGCGGCTTATTCGTGCATTGGTCTCCCTCCACTATGCATTTTTGCTCCCTTCCACTATGCTTTGTGCTTTTGGATAACACTCATTTTTATTAGTGAAAAAAAAGTTTTTTGATTTCCTTAAATGCATCAAAATTTATTGCAGTGCACAGGGCTGTCAACAATATAATAAAAAATATTTACAGGGTATATATAGTATCTTTTATAAGAAGATTTGCAGATAATAACCAAAATTGTAGCAGTAAGAATATCACTACATTATTGCTATTAAACATATTTCTATCCTAAAAACTGTTTTTTTTCATGCTTAGGAACATTTTCATTATATACGAAGTTTGCATTGCCATTTTTCCTTCCAGGTTGTTCTCTTGATTCCGATCATGCATGGTCTTGGTCACTCTATATATTTTTTTTTTTATTAACAGATATTATGCTGATTAAATGAAAATAATTTGTTCTGTTATCGTATGAGTAAAATTTTTGTGCTTGTCCCTTTGGATATTTTTGCATAAACTGTCATAATTGGCTCTTGAAAGATGTGTAATAGCGAATAGATTACCGAATGATCACTCCTGATGCGTTGTTTGTACGATTTTTCTTATCGTGTGTTCCAGGCATAACAGTGTACTTTAAATTTGCCAAAACCCAAAATCAAGATGTAAACAGCTACAACAATGCAGTACCATGCCCTTACTTTTGGGGCCTGTAAAGTATGCATTAGGAATAAAGAGCACTATGTAAGCTTTATGATGGGATACTTGGAGGTTGATTTACAAAATGAATAGAGACTGTTAGCACTTAGCAAAATGGACATTTGCTGAGCTTTGTAAATAAGATCAAGTTGTGTTCACGTTAAAGCTGAACTACACTGCATCTGAGCAGCACAAACTAAAAACACTATTTAATAAATTTTTAATATTTAAAGCAAACTCACCCATCCATGTCTCCTTGCTTTATTGTGCTGAGAAATCACTTTGAAATCACCCCTCTAGCATTTCTGTCCGCGTCCATCTTAAGTAAGGACAGATGAATTTACTTCCTGGAATCTGGATTTCATCTGCCCTTAGCTCAGGCATGCAGGCAGGAGGGTGTGTCTAGGTGAGAAAGCCCCTCCTCCCCTCTTGAAGACTCCTGGAATGTATGACATCATTTGCCTAAGCTTGCAAAACAGTAAGTAACTGAAGAAATGTAAAAAAAAAAAGTAATATGATATACTTTCCTATCTATTTACTAATGGTAGTAGCATAAGGGTTTAAAATAATTAATGTTAATTGAGAGAGTGAAGTTCCGCTTTAATCAACCAATTATGTGCTAGCAAAAAATCTTTTATTTCCCCCTCACTTTTTGCATCTAGAGTGAACACAGAATCACCTTGGCTACTATCATTCTCTTCCAAATTCAACATTTACTTTGCTGAGTGAACAGCCTCTACTCCTAGTAAATGCTAGTAAATCAACCCCATAATATATGCATATATAAGACATACGCGCATACCTAAGACCCTTGTTGCGTAGCTCACATTAGTCATCACTTTACACTTAGAGGTAAAAAAAATATTATTTTCCTGTTTTTGCATCATTTAAAATGTACACATTTGTTAATCTGATAAAGTTTTATTTTTTTTTAATTCAGTATAAATTTGTAAAAATATGTTGTTTGTGTATGGTAGTAAACTTTAGTTTAATTTTATGGAAATATAACCTTGGTAAACATTTGCACAGCTGTCATGGGTTATACAAATTAGTTATACAAATGAGTGCAATTTTCCAATTGTATAGGTCATGCACTTCCACAAAAATATATATTTGGGGGAGATGAGAGGTTTTTGCACAATATTGAGTACATAATGTGGACGGCAACAGTGTGTTTGCCATCTGAAATACGAAATGGAAGTGCCTGGCAGCAATAGAGATTAAGATTTATTGTTAGATATTTGCATGAAATTACATTGAATGTTCTGTATGTCTGCTGATAGTAAAAGTAAAGCATATCTGTCTTTTAATACCAACAACTAAATTTACCTTAATAACATAGTATGAGCAAACCAGTAGCAGAGCAGAACATAAGATGTAGGGTATCAGGCTTTAAAGTGGTTGTAAACCTCAGACATGAAATATTACCAAAGCTTATTTCTCTATAGTGTGTACTTGTCCCAGTCCAGAACACTTATTGTCATTTCACTCAGCTGCCTTATTCCTCAGACATCTGATAACTTCTGACATGTTTTCCTGACACCAAGAGAAAAAAAGGTGACCGGGGAGGGACCTCCAGTACACAGCATGAGGTCGATGGCCTCAACTCTGTTCCCATGTGCTGTGCGAAGGGGATGTTTCCTATCCCTCCAATCAGCTCTCAGAGCTCTCCTTACAAGGGAAGAGAGGGGTACAGATAAAACATACAGTATCTCACAGAAGTGAGTCCACCCCTCACATTTTTGTAAATATTTTATTATATCTTTTCATGTGACAACACTGAAGAAATTATACTTTGCTACAATGTGACGTAGTGAGTGTACAGCTTGTATAACAGTGTAAATTTTCTGTCCCTTCAAATTAACTCAACACACAACCATTAATGTCTAAACCGCTGGCAACAAAAGTGAGTACATCCCTAAGTGAAAATGTCCAAATTGGGCTCAATTAGCCATTTTTCCTCCCCGTTGTCATATGACTCGTTAGTGTTACAAGGTCTCAGGTGTGAATGGGGAGCAGGTGTGTTAAATTTGGTGCTATCGCTCTCACTCTCTCATACTGGTCACTGGAAGTTCAACATGGCACCTCATGGCAAAGAACTCTAGAGGATCTAAAAAAAGAATTGTTGCTCTACATAAAGATGGCCTAGGCTATAAGAAGATTGCCAAGACCCTGAAACTGACCTGCAGCACAGTGGCCAAGACCATACAGCGGTTTAAAAGGACAGGTTCCTCTCAGAACAGGCCTCGCCATGGTCAACCAAAGAAGTTGAGTGCACGTGCTCAGCATCATATCCAGAGGTTGTCTTTGGGAAATAGGCGTATGAGTGCTGCCAGCATTACTGCAGAGGTTGAAGGAGTGGGGAGTCAGCCTGTCAGTGCTTAGACCATACGCCTCACACTGCATCAAATTGGT